ATGATATAGAAATATTATTTCGATTTCGCCAGAGACGTCAACAAACAATAATCCCGTTATATCAGAGACGACTCTTTATAATATAGTCTTGAAGCTTGTTCTTGATTAGATTTGGCTTTGATTGTGCTTTCTCAGACACTTGTATAGCATTTTGGTTCTTAATATTATACTAACCTTTTTACTTTATGTTCTAACGTTCTTTTTATGGAATAAATTATGTATTTTAAGATTTTTTTTAACTTGATAAAACTTTTACCCATATGATGAATTTTAAAAAATAATTAAATTGGATTCTCTTGCTAAATAATTAATTAAAAAAATTTAATTATTTGATTTTAACATAACAAATAATTTATTCTATGTTGATTCAGATCTTAATATTAGTTCATCTCTTATTTTGATGATTTAATATTAATTATAATTTTATACACTATAAATTTTATTTTCAAAGAGTAAAAGATTGATATGACATTTCACTTTTAGATCTTTATGTTTGTAAAATCATTAGTGATATTGACTCTTACCAACCATTTCTTTCTCTTTCTCACACATTTATATTCTTAAATATTTTCTTAGTTGTTGTTTAATAATTGGGTATTTTCAATATTACACAAAAGGATAAAAATATTATTTGAGTCAGAAAATATTTCAAATATAATATAAAAATATATTATCGTGGGAGTATTTTTTCTCAATTTCAACTCTTTATGCAGTCTATTTAATATTACTTTTTTTTGTATTGGATATTATGGAGTGGTAATATATTGCCAGTATTGCCAATACGGAGGATTCCTATATATTTTTAATAAGAATTAAATAGACAAAATTTTATTAATTTTTAAATCTTAAAATATTAAAAATTAGAAAAGAAGGTATTGTAATCCAAAAAAATATGTTATTGCAGTTATGTCATTTCCATATGAGTTCTTTCGCTTAATATTTTAGGGCTATTTTGGTATATTAATATTGTATTTATTCTTTTATGATAATATACACTCTCCTTTTTCTAAATGGATTTGGACAATATAATACATTCTTAAATTAAATTAGTAATAGGACACTATAATATGTTTTCGAATTAAGTTTGTAATATAATTTTTTAAGGAGTATATCCTAAAAGTAATAGGATTACATGACTAAAAATATTTACTTGTTCAATTTTATATGAATTGGACAGCCCGAAAGTAATTATACTAATAGAATTCCAAAGATAATCATGTAGGATTCCTAACCTGTAGCATTATGTCCTAAAATCAATGGGATTATGAGGCTAATATCTAGTTAAAAAAATTAACATAGAAGTTATTGTAGTCCAAAAAAATAAGTTAGCACATCTATGTCCTTTCCTTATGAGTTCTTGTGTTTAATATTTTAAGGCTATTTTGGTCTATCAATATTATATTCGTGCTTTTATAATAAAATATGTTCTCCTGTTTCTAAATGAATTTGAACAATATAATATATTTTTAAATAAATTAGTAATAGAATTTTTTAAAGAAGTATATCCTAAAAGTAATAGAATTTCGTTCGAAAGAGAAGTTCCAAATCTATCTCGGAGTTTTCCACATTCATGTTCGTTTGTTCGAAAATTCCTTTTTTATGTGAATTCTTACGGGAAGGATTTACAGGTATTAATATAGTGGATTGTATTAAAGTTATATTCCTTGTTTAACTCGAGTAAGAAGGACCAACGCATTGGATTATATCTTTTTATTATGAGTTATTATGCTTAATATTATAAGGTTATTTTTGTAAACCGACATTGTATTCATACTTTTATAATAATATAGATATAGATATAGATCGATATATATATATATATATATATAATCTTTATCAACGCTAAACACTATTTAAAGACTTACATATATAATATTTACATATAAATACTTTTAGGTCGTAGACAATTTGACCAATCTCTTCTAAAACATTTACGAGAATAAAATTGCGAAACAAAGTATGTTAAAGCTCACCCTTTTTCCCCTTCAAAAACCCAGCCAACCACCTTTAACTTTCCAAAAGTAAGTACATCTTTAAAAATTTGAAAGTAACAATTTTTAATATCCATAGAAGTTTAGTGAAACAAGTTACGTATTAATTAGTCTAGGTAGAAATTTTGGTACAATAGTATGGAATGATTCCACATTTCCACTATACAGTTAGGTAATCAATCCTATTTTATCCATTTTTTATACCTAGGTATGCAGTTTTTTTTCTATTTCCTTTATTATGAAAGAAATCGAAGAGAAAATGATATGGTATAACAACCTTTGAAAAGAATTGGTATAGAAAAACTCCAATTGTATTTATTAGGTTCGACTGGATAATTACGATTTTGAATGAATACATCGTATAAGCGTGTAGCGTCAACATAATCTTAAGAATCCCCCATATATCGATATTCGGGGAATTATAAAATCGTCTATTGGGGATTAGGCTATTTAATGCCAAAGCTTTTGGACTTCGGCTGCTAAACTAAATTTAAGGCCAATAAAATGCCAATTATAGTAATGCCTTATTATACAATGTCAATTCCTCGAAGTTTATCTTTTATTCAATCGTCAATTGGATGACCAAACTTTTTGGAGATCTTTATACAATTAGCCAATCAAATTTACTGTTAACTTTTGTAGCCAATACACATAAATTATATAATAATAATACACGATTATATATATATGTATATATTATTCGTAAATTTTATATATATTGCATATCCACTTGCTATTTTAAGTGGTTGGTAGGCGGCTATTAGCAAAAGGGTTGGGCACAAGATGATTTGTAATGGGCTTAGAGTGAAAATTAGCAACTCAAGCCCATTTTTAGTTCACGACCCATAGAGGACTACTCTTTTAAGTTCTGAGTTTAGTGACTTCTCTTTAAAAGTAGAAAATAGAGTTATAGTTCCCTCGCTTCTTGTCCGTCAACCAGACTCCTTCTCTATCATTCTCGCACTGAAATTTTTTATTTGTAGAAACTCAGAAATTGCTACTCCTGCGTAAGTTTCTCATTATACTTTTGCTTTGTGCTATCTATGTTTGTTTACGTTGGGTTCATAGTTTATAGATTGTCGTTGTTTGTTCGCGAATGAACTTTTCAATGCATTATAGCAGTAATTTTGGGGAGCTTCTTTGTTTTTTTTTTCATTCTGATTTTCTCATCTACTACGCCTGTCAATATAAGGATGTAGTTACAAAACTTTGTTCATTTCAATTATTGGTGAATTGGTTTGATTTGGTTTACATATGTTGCTTTTTTCTTCTTCCTTTTTAAATTTTTTCTTTTTTTAAAGAAAAAATCAGTGTCAGAGTGAACCATGCATACCGCTACTAACATTTATCCTATTATTTAAGCAACAAAAGATTTGTGGTGTGTTTACTGTTTTTTTGGGTAATGGCCAAGGGCGGCTTCATAAAATTAGTGGTCTAAAGTCAAGTTTTAATATAGTACGTATACACACATATATGCAAAAGAATTAGTCTTGCCATTTTTTTTCATACTTGTTGTTTATAGTATATATATATTCTTAAATGACATAAAGTCTTTAACTTCACATAGTACTATTATTGTTTATACTAGAAAAGGGTAATTTAAATAAATAAGATGTTAGACATGTATTTGCAATATGTTATCTTTCATATTGTTGAAAACAATATATTTACTAATATGAAGATTTAAACAGTTTAATTTAAAGTTTTAAAAATATTTTACTATTAATGAGTAGACATCTTACTTTCTTTTTTACAAATATTTTGTACTTTTTAATTTTTTTATGAACATTAATATTGTCTAATTTGAAATAAAATTATGAAATTCATTATTAAAAACTTTGCGGACCTAAATCAGAGCTTTACGAATCTCCTATTAGAGTCACTAGTCCACCCCTAACATTCCCAATTAAATTTATAGAGTCTCAATTAAGATAAAACAACAATAACAAGAACATTAAATGCACTGAGTTTGTCATTCAGTTACTAAATGTGAATAAAGTTGGTTGAACAACACGTTCATGGTGGGGCAGTAGTCTATAAATAATTGTTGATCATCAATGCGGGACGGCTTAACAGAACTGGTGGCTTAAAACCAAAATATATTAAAAGACCCTGTAACTTCTTTTATAAACTCCATAAATATTGAAACACAAAAAAACGTACATGACTTTGATCTAGTGGTGAGAGCGCATCTCAAGATGTATGGGTTAGGCGCACGTCTTATGGTATTGAATTCTTACCTTAAGTAAAAATGGTAAAAGAGTGAGCCCATTATCCATCGTGTTTTGAGCCTTGTGATATTTGTCTCGGGATATCTTAGTTAAAAAAGATGAGACACAAAAAAATCTGCTTTCTAGTATGTAGAACAATCAAATATGACAAAAAAGAATAGCTAATTTAGAGAATTTGAAAGTAAAATCGTGATAAACATAAAAAAAAAGACTATACAAAGGAAGAAAAATAGAATGATGAGAAGGTAAATATGTTCATTAATTTAGTGAGAGAAAAAAATTATTTTATTAAGTCACTTAGTCCTACCTCTACCAAAATTTAAAAATTACTACAATTTGAATTCTTTTATTAATAATTATATAAATACAAATTATGGAGTATATATTATATAATAATATAGTTCCTCTGTTCCAGTTTATGTGAACCTATTTCCTTTTTGGTCCGTTCCAAAAAGAATAAATTCTTTCTAAATTTGGTAACAATTTAGCTTAAACTTACAATTCTATCCTTAATGAAAAGTTTTTTTAACCACACAAGTCCTCTGGGCTCCTTTTTAACTTGTTCAGGACCATAAATTCAAAAAAATCTTTATTTTTTCTTAAACTCCATGCTCAATCAAATGAATTCGTATAAATTAGGAGGGAGTATTAGGCCACATTTGTTTGCACTTAATGAGGTCTGAATCTGAATGAATCAGATCTTAGCCCATTAAGTATATTTTTTTTTTTATTTTTAAAAAGTCTGAGTAGGTCTTATTGGGTCTGATTCGGTCAGACCTTTAATTGAGTCTTAATTCTGGTCAGAGGTTAAAAATACCGAAAATACACGCCTCTTTTTTCGGTGCTCCTTTTCTCTCTCTCTTCAAGGATCAAGTAGCCGCCGAATCTTTTTCTGGGTAAGATTTTGAAAATTATACTTGGAATTCTCCATCTTGTTTCCACTTTTCTAATGGTAAATTTCAGTTTCGAGTTTAGGGTTTAAAAAAACCCCTTTTTGAGAAGGGGCTAAACTAGAAGGTTTTGCTTGCCTCTTATTTGTGTCTTGTTCTCATTTTTGGATATTCTAGTTTGATTGAATCTCTGAATGTTCTGTAATTTTTCTTGATTTTGTTGACATCCCGATTCTCTAAATCGTAAATCTTCTAAATTGTTAGCAATGTTTTTTTTTCTCTTTTGCAGATTCACATAGTCCCTTTTGAACGTTCTTTCGTTTTCTTCAAGACTTGCATATTAGTGACTGAAATTCAATTTCTCTAGTTGAAATATAAACCGTAATTAGTGTTTATGAAGCTCGTCCAAAATCAAACTTTGCTATGGCTAGAATTCGGATAACGAAGTTCTGTGTTGTTGAAATTAGAGCCGCTATAGTTTCATATTTGGCTAGAATTCGGATAATGTATACATAAGTAAGATTTATATTTCAGTGCTTTCTGAATATTTATGTGCTATTGCTCTTGAATTATTCGTCATATGTTACATGTTTTATAATTGAACCATGCTTTCTTTTGTTTATTCAAGAATAGCTTCTTTACTTCCTCAATTTTTTTCCTATTTTGTGTTTAAGATCATACCATTTACTACATCTTTGCAATCTTCAAACAGATTATTTGCTTAGAAATATACAACTTATCTTCATGGGTGGCTCAAGGGTGAGGCTATCGCTTTAGGCCCCAAAAATTTTGAGGCCCCAAAAAGTGTTGTAAAATACGTAATAATATTTTCACTTTGAACTTTGTAGAAAAAAGTATAAAATCCGTGTAAAAAAGGTTTTAAAAAAACAAAGAATATTTACTTTTTAACATAAGAAATATTCTAGAACTTCGAATTAAACTACTCAAATCTTTGTTTTAGCAAATAAAGTTTTTTACATCAAGATCCAAGGTAATGCATTGCAAACATATGGCTAACATCTTACTAATTTGAATTAACACTTGATAATATAAATAATAATATTACTAAATGAACCTAAAAGTCATATATCTTGTATGAATACCTTACGTTCAAAATATTTTTTTGGTTACATTTCGTTACTACAATTGTTGTTATTATATATAATTTTCATTTATGGTTTAAATAGTTTAACAATTGGATCTTACATAAAATATTAATTTATATCTTATAATATTTCAATTTATCTCAAATAATAATTTTTTTTGTTCAAGTTAGTATTTTCACTAATTGATGTAATATTTAATTACTTTTTTTTGAATTGTATATGTTTTTATCTTGAAATATATAATACGTATTCGGATGTTGAAAAACAAACAATCTTAATCATTCAGTGTTCAGATCTGCATACCATGTTTTAATATTCAGACGTGCATTCAGATTCAGACGTCTTAATCTTAAAAAAAAAAAACGAAGCCTAGTGTTTCATATTTTTGGGGCCTTAAATATTTAGGGTCTAAGGCAAAGGCTTCACTTGCCTTACCCTAGAGCCGTCCTTGATAATACCGTAATTATTCTTTTCTACAGGCCCTGATAGACGGTTCGATTTGATGGCCTACCGAGGTCGAGGGCGTGGTGGATTTGGAGGTGGCAATTTGCGACTAGCTAAGCAAGTTCCATTTGAACTTTTCCCTGTAAGTCAACTCCTTTGGCTCATTTATGCGATATTCTTCACACGAATTATGGTACATTGCTTAAGGAGATCACAAGTTCGGTTAATGGACGAGGGTTGTGATAGGTTAACTGTTAGATAAAATATTGAACTTTAATGAATGATCTTGTATACCACGGTAAGAAAGCCGTATGGATCATATAATATACACAACTAATTTAGGATTGAGGCATAGTTGATTACTAATACATTGGTCTTGGGAAATGAGTAAACTTTTCCAACTTTTGAAGCTGTAAAATGCGTGCTAACATAGAGACTGAACTTTGTAAACGGATGGGAAAAAGGTTTTAAAAAGGAATGTTTTCTCGTATTGAAGTTAATCATAGGAGATTTAGCACCTGCAATAATGTTTTACTCAAAAATGCACTCAGCCAATTATGAGAGTTTATATGATGATAAATAGAAAGATGTCTGACACATAATGCCCGTTTTGATGTTTGAGGTACATAATGTGATTATAAATATCTAGAATACCTTCATCAAAATAAATATCCAGAATACCTGGAATAAATTCATGGAAAAGTTAAGGAGTTGCATCATATATTATTACTACTAACAAAATCACAATATAAAAGTTCTATAGTCCTTTAACGAGCTAAAATAATCCCCCCACCCAATTTGAACAGTATGTCCTCGTGTTTTGTCAATTAATCATTTCTCATCAAACAAGCATGTAAAATATAGACTTTTTTTGTAGCTTTTATGTAGTTTCAACCATTCAAAAGCTGTATTCTTAGAAGAATTTGTCTGTATTTTCACTTAATACGTATGGAGTATTATGCTCCAATAGCATCAGAAGGACGAATACAAAATTGGTCGCTGTACCGGCAGGTCAGCACTTTGTAGTACCACTTTTAGGAGAAGATATGGACAAAATTTCCTCTCTTTCTATGCAAGTGTAAAAAAGGTTTTCTTCATTGCCTATCAATGGGTGTAATATGGCAGCCTTTGTAGTACTGTAGAAGTATCCTTCTACATTATTTGCATATTAATATGGTTTGAACTTTTACACATTGATATATTGGACAATTGTTTAGCCCAATGAATTTCCTTTTTCCTTGTCAGTTAAATTCATTTTAGTTGCACCTTTGGTCCCCTATTAACTAATTTTGACAGATCTACAATAACAATTGATCTATAGTGCATGTGGATTTGACATAAGAAGATTCTTTCTGCTCTGCTATTACACGGTATATTTTATAGTCGAGTGAAGAATTTGATGTAAGGTCTGATTAATGTGTCCTATGGTTACTGGATGTTTAGGTCATGTCCACTGGTAGTTTAGTTGAGTTAATCTGACTCATAATTCTTTTGGCAGATTTAATCTGAACTGATTAATGTCAGCCTGTCAGCTGAGATTAACAATTAAGCTTGATATAGATAGATCTCTTGCTACTTTAAGTTAATTAAGAAGAAAGATTGAATATGTTATTAATTTAGCTTGCTATGGTTGGTCAGTCGATTTGCAGCTAACACAATTTTGACCTTTCTACCATTTGCAGGAAATTGAGAACTTAGGTAATGCGGCAAGTGTCACTGAAAGGACAACACTGGCAATTTGGCACTCAAAGTTACAGAAGTATTGGAACTCCTCTCCTTACTATTTGGGAGAGGAAAGTGATGTTTTGAAGAGTAAGCATTCAAATTTTTGAAACTTATGCACTCCTTCTTTGAGGAAATTTCATACCTCTTGTTTAGGAATGGATAAAGCCACTTATTATACTTGTTGTAAATGATCGGCACTAACATTTTGTCACAACCGAAATCTGGAGGGCCACGGATGGCGCGCGATGAGCCAGCGTCTGTAGAGAGAGCACTTAACGTTGTTGTATCAACTACCCATAAAGCATACATTGGGGTTCCAAGCGATCCCACATTGTCATGCGTCAGATAAATGAAGCATAACTTCCCATCGAAGCGAAAACATCACATATTTGAATTAAGCCTTGACGAGAGATACAATCTATTTACGGTCCCAAGTACTTACACATCAATCCACAGTAAAGTATGGAGCGTCTAATGAATAACGTTATACATAAACCGAAACTGGATGTAGCCCATCAATAAGTAAAGGTAGAAATATCAAAGGAAGCCACCACCAATCTAGTGTGGGGCTCACCGCAAAAGTTTTATCTAGTGGTGCTCAAGCCTCGTAAATGGAGATGTCGACGGAATCTTAAGACCTGAAAGTAGATGGACGGAGTATACTCAGCAAATCTGATAGACCTGCCTCTAAAAGTTGGGACAAGTCTTAAGAGAAAACATGCATTTGTATGAAAGGTCATAACTTTAGAAAACTTGAATGTTTCATATGGAGACATTAGTTCTAAAGTCATAAATGTGTAAAAAATTATGAAAAGAGTTTCAAGGTAGGGGTAAGGATTGCGTACATACTACCCTCCGTAACTCCACTTGTGAGAATATACTGGGTATGTTGTGTTGTAGTTTCTTTGAAACATAATATGCCTTTAACATTGGTCAACCTAGCGCAAACAAGGCATAAAACGTCATAATTACAAATCATAAAAATTACTTTACAAATCATGCACCTCATACAACATTCCTGAAACTTAGGCAACCTGTATCTATGCTTGGTGCACAATGTGGCACCAGACAATCTTTGGCATCACAACTTATATTTGCTTGGCAAGTTGTGCAGGCACCAGAGAGTTCACAATGTCAAAAGCTCTTTATCCCAGCTTGGCGCACTATGCCAATATCCAGAAAGTTTATAGTGACACTCTTATATCTGCTTGACACATTCTGCAGGCATCAGATAGTCCAGCACTACACATTTATATTTGATTGGCGCATTGTCCAGGCATTAGGCAGTCCAAACGGCAAAAGCGCCCTTTGTTGGCACACTAGAGGGCAAGCAGATAGTCCGCAGTGGTCTATTCATTATTCAAGAGCTAACTAAACTGTGGGGCACCAGATAGTCCACAGTCGGTGGATGAAGTTAGCATTATTACCTGTAGTCGTTCGTATTTTGTGCATGCTGCAATACTATCTGATTGTCGTTTCAAGGAGTAATCATGGACAAATTTTTCATAGGATTTTGTTTTCTTTTAGAAGATTCTGCTTTTATTATTTTCCTCGTGAGAATACATGAAGGTCCACAATGCAAATTAGAACAGCTACATAATTCTTAAAGTAAAAAAGCTTGAGGTTCATGTGGTTCAGTTCAAGTACAGTTTGGAAAACATTTTCTGTTAGAAGAATTGCTGCATTATTTGAAAATTAATCTTTCTCCTTCTGCACCATCTGACAATTAATTTGTTGTGACTATGGATTATTTGATGCTCCGATTTGATGTCCATACGGTGTAGTTTCAGATTCCCAATTTTCTATACTTCGCATACCCTTCTGCACTATTTGATATTTAATGTCTTGTTATTTTATATCTGGCGTTCAGAATTTTGATTACTTCTTTTTTTACGTGGCACTTTATATGAATCGCTGCGAGTTTCAGATTTCTGATCTTCTGCACATCACACACTATGTTTCTAGAAACAAAAGGCATGGATATAGAAAGATTCTCAGATAGGAAGTCAGAGAGGGGCAAGTCAAAGCCACCATTGTCGCACTTCATAAGGATGGATCCAGCCTATGTTCCTGCAGAACTAGCTAAAGGTTTTGTCCTCCTTAATTCCTGCTAAATTCTTTGGGCATGCTGCTTAGTCAGATCTCTTCAACCTAATTCATTTGCTTAGTTAGATGCTTTATGATGATAAATATTGCAGGTGGAAGGGAGGAGAATCGTGCTGCGAAAAGAGTGCGCTGGAACCCAGAGTCAGGTAAAGTTCCATAATTTTATCTTTCTTTCTTGCTGTTTTGTCTTTGTTCTCTGCAAACTTTCTGACGTAAAATAAATTGGTTTGTCCACCTTGTGCACCTAATATTATGTCTCTCACCTCCTGTGCATAAAAATTAGGTGCATAACTTGGAGTTGGATCTCATTATTCCATTGCTTCATGAGAATGGATTTGATAGTATACCCGAGGACAATTATTGAGAAATTTACCTTTGTGCACAAAAGCACATATACACCCCGTGGTCAAACTAAGTTTGACTTAAAGTCTTTGATAAGGCCTCGTAATGTTGCTATGGTATTTTTGGAGTGTATGTTTTTGTTCTTTGTTCTTTTTTATCCAATAGTAATCTAGAACCTGTAGATTTTCCTTTCTATTTCACATATGGACATTTTATACATCTTCTGAAGTCCTGAGTTGCATATCATGTTCCCTGAACATACCATGCATAAAATATTTCCACTTCGGTAATAGAACTACTGATTTATAGCAAAGCCCTTTGAACACTAACCTGGATCAGAACCTCTAGCAAAGTATCAGTAGCACTATGCCTGGCAGAGATTGACTTTGTACATAATGTTCTTCGTTAGCACACGCTGGGTTTGGAACCTCGGTTAGCTTATGTGATATACATCAGCGTGCCTTTATCAATTTTCATAACAGCCCAGCTTAGTATTTAAAGAGTTCCACTACTGATCAGCCCTTTGGTTCTTTAACTTTATTTTGTATCTTCTCGACTTAAAATTCTCTTAAAGTGAGATAGCATTGGTTCTACACATCCCAAGCAGTTCATGATATGGTGAGCTCGCTCTATTTATGAGCACTGAACAAAGTTATCTTATTGCTGGGGCAAGAGATCAGGCCCAACTTCTTTTGAACTTCAATTTGTCAATAGACATATTCCTGGAGTCTAATACTTTTCACTGTACGTTCACAAGTTTGTTAAACGGTTGCAGAACATTAGCTGTTTATGTGACCCTTCTTCCATACACACAAAGAGAAAGCTATTCTCCACTTGGATATATTTCATTTAAGTGGGTATGTGCCTGTGTGGTATGCTAGGGTTCTCAGTGATCTTGTAAGTCATGTGAGTTCGTTGAATTTGGACTAAAGTTACCTATCAAAGAGAAGATGTATAAGAGGCTAAGAGCTGACATCACATTGAACAGAAATGCAGATGCTTTTCTCTCTTTTGACTTTCATTTGTTGTAATTTATCGAGCTCATGAAATTGTTTTTTGGTGACAGACATGCAAAAATTGGATCTTCTTGAGAAGCTTGATAAGAAGCTTGAGGTTAACCTCTACCTTTACAGGAAATGTTTCTTTTGAAGTGTTTTAGCAAGAAGGTTACTCGTCTACTGCAATGCTTTCTTATCTTTTGATTGTTACGTTTCAACTCACTGCAAATTCTTAGGGCGATGAGGAGAAGAAAAAAGACGGTGAAGACGAGGAGGACGAACAAGAGGAGAAAATTGAAGAGGAAGAAGAAGAATTTAGTGACGACGGAGATTACAACCAGGTAATGTTGGTAAACATTCTGCTTCCGCAAATGGACATCCATGTTTAAGGAACTTGAATCAGAATGCTTTATGTTCCTCTAGTATGAACTATACTTGCATTGCTTGTCAATTGTTTGCCTACCTAGATCAACATCATTAAGCGTCATTCTTTAATAGAAAAGTGTATATCTACACAAAGCTTAAGTATTTTGAAACTGTTGAACATTGGTACAGAATCTTTATGATTATGATGATGATGAAGACGACTACAATATGAATGAAGATAATAATGGTACGGTCCTACTTGCAGTTTCTTTTCTTCTTTTATTTGATGCAGCAGTATTGATTACTTCTTATTGCCGTTCGAATGCTTATGAAATAATGCTAAGCAACCTCTGTTGCAGATGAAGGCATGTATTGAAGGTTGCTTGTTGGGTGGTTTTCGCTTGCCTTAGGAATTTTTTTCAGAGATTGAAGTCTTTAATTATGTTATTGGATTTTCTAGAAAGCTTAGCTCACACATAGGCCTTGAATATTACCAAATATGTTCATAGTTTGCATATTATCCGTCATGCTAATAGTATTTCTACAAAATATAGACAATTCATTAAATAAGGAATCATTGTAGCTGTAGGCTTCCTTATTTAGGCGCGCTAAAATTGAGGAATTAAATATTCTTCCAGATCTTCTACAATGCAAATCACACACATTAATAATTATCGTTTGTTTCGTTTCAAATTTAGCCACTCTGGTTTTGTGATACATTGTGTTTCATCCTTTTTTCTAATTTTACAAATCAAAAAGGACTAAATCTTCTACAATTCTTCTGCAAAAACGCAATTATATCCAAAATTTCAATTATGCTACAACTGAATGGGAATTGGGATAGCTATGAGAGATTTAGAGAATTTCAGGTCGATGGCATTGTAGTCGATGAGGATGCGAGTTATAGTCTATTGATTTTTACAATAGCACAACAATTAATGATCGATACATTCGAAAAAATTATAGAAATCAAATACATTGTCAACGAGCATTGTCCTCCAATGGAAATTAGGAACGATATGGGTGTTCGTGTATACATGGAGACGAAAAAGGAAAACAAAAACTTAGGATCATATCCGCTATGTATAACTGTTCGCGATTTCAATATGGAATTGAGTATACCAATGAGAACACAACTGCAGGTTTGTGCTGTTATTTTTTCTATCAAATTCTATTGTATGTTAATATCCTACACTTTATCTATATTTTATCCACAAATAAACTACATGTCAGAGTAAATATATATATCAGTATGGATTTTTATAATATCTACAAAATTTCTACATTTATTCTACAATAAAACTACATATCATTTGAAAATTAATATGAATTACAGAATTTCAATGTTTATACAAATTATCTACAAAATTTCTACAAACTGTTAATAACAGTATTTATCTTTATTTTCGTGCAGGTTTGTTTGGAACACTAAAGTTACTTGATATGCCAACATCTCCCGTTATAGAGGAATATGAAAGTATAATAATTACAGATAGTACACCAAGTTTTATTGAAGTAGGATAAGTATACCAAGATAAGCAAACAATTGCAACTGCAATGAAGCACTATTCTGTCATGCACAAGTTCTAATTCAGGGTTAAAAGATCTAGTGCTAGAAGGTATGAACATATGAATGGTCAAAGATCATTATTTTTTTAATTTTGTAGTTTATTTATAATTTATTACTTCTTCAGTTTTTTCTTGTGATAATGTTTATCAGTATTGTAAATGAATTGTAGTTATATTGTATATAAATTGTATAATGTGATCGTTTAAGCTAAAACGATCTTTTTTCTTTTTAAATCTACATTTTAAACCAGTGTTTAAATTGTATTTATTTTGTAGCTACTGGCTGATATGTGTTGGTGAAAACTGTACATGGCACTTCAAGGCAACTAGCATAAATGATTCTGCAATGTTCAAGGTCAGAAATTTCAACAGCCAACACACATGCTCTTTAATGGACAATACATTCATACAACGCAAACCTACTGCCATGGTAGTTGGTAGCATGGTTATTCCAAAATATTATGATCCTAAGACAATTTACACACCGAAAGACATATAATTTGACATGTTGTCTGAACACGACGTGAATCTAACCTACATGCAAGCTTGGAGAGCAAAGGAAAAGGCTTTACAGTTTTTGAGAGGTCATCTTGCTGACTCCTACAACAAATTTCCTAGTTATTTGTATATTCTAGAGAAGACTTATCCGGGGTCTGTAGTTAAATTGAAGAAGGCAGACGATGACTGCTTCTTGTATGTATTTGTTGCGATTTGTACGTCAATCAGTGGTTGGGAATATTGCAGGCCAGTTGTAGTAGTTGATGAGACCTTCTTAAAGTCAGGATACAGGGGAATAATGCTAACAACCAGTACAATGGATGCAGCAGATATTGAAGTTTTATTGTAGAAATATTGTAGCTTGTATGTTTTTTGTAGTACTTGTAGATATGTTGTAGATATATTGTAGAAAAGTTGTAGTTTGTATGTATATGTCTTCTTCTGCATTTTTTCTGCAACCAATTAATTGCTTTTTGCCACATAATGTAGGTACCATATTACCATTGGCATATCCCGTTGTTGATTAAGAAAATGACGCATCATGGAAGTGGTTTTTTGAGCAATTCAAACATGCATATAGTGAAAGACCAAATATGTGTGCTGTTTCGAATCAGAATGAGAGTATCTTGAAGGCAACATCTATTGTTTATCCCGGCATGCCACATTATTCTTGCATGTGGTATATTTGGACAAATATATGAGCAAAGTTCAAGAAGGGACATCTAAAGTTAAGTGAATTGTACTTTGCTACGACACGATCATACACGCTTGATGAATTTAATGAAAGGATGTCAAAGATTGAAGAGATTGACCCCCGTGTTAAAGCATACTTATACAATATTGGCTATCATAGATGGTCTCGAGTACATGCTAAGCTGAACAGAACTTGGACTATGACATCAAACATTGCAGAGTCGTTGAATGCTGTAACAAAATATGTAAGAGAGTTGCCGATAGTAGAACTATTAGAGTATATAGGACCTTTCTTGAACGTTGGTCGAAGGAAAAGTTATTGAAAGCAAAAGGTACAATCACATACCTTAGGTTCAAATTCAACAAAGAGTTGGATGACAATAGAACATTGTCGCACAAGCTTAGAGTAAGATCTGATCATTTATTGAATCAAATTAATTTATACAGGACAATGTAGATATTTTGTAGATAGTTTGAGTTTAACCGTATATGAATTGTTTTTTTTGTTTGTATGTAATCGTAGGTGAGGGCTTCAACAGACTACATCCATACAGTACTAGATGATGTGAGGCGCTATATTGTTTGTCTTGAAAAATAAGAGATGTATTTGTGGGCAATTCCAGCTTGATGAACTTCCTTGTCCACATGCTTTGGCTGCTTTAAGACACAGGGATGAGTCTTCTGAACAATATTGTTCTCCTTATTACACAAGGGAGAACCTTTTGCGTACTTATGAAATACCAGTAAATTCCCTTCATGATGAAAGCAAATGGAATGTGCCACAACATATATCTGAAGAAGTAGTAAATCCACCTACAGGAGGGAAAAGGCATCCAGGAAGACCTCAAAAATAAAGATACAAAACATATGATGAAATAAATTCAAAGAAGTACAAGGTTTCATGTGGTAACTGCGGAGGAGAAGGGCATAACAAAAGATCTTGCAAGAATGCACCCAAAAAGAAATAAAATTTTATGTAGTTAACAGAATATTTCATAAATTTTTTGGTGAGTTCAGGATAACAGATTTTGATGTGTAATTGTTGAGTTTTTTAAGATCATAATGTAGTTAGTTAGGATTTTTCTATATTGAGATAATACTTTCATAGAGTAATTTGTTTATGAATGGTTTCTATATATATAATCTACCACTTTTTTTTACTATCTCTAGCATCCTTTACATTGTTGTTGATGTATTTTTGCAATTTATCTACAATACAACTATAAAAAATTAACTGGAATTTACAGAGTAACTACATTATAAATCAGTAGGAAAGGAGTTATATACTAAAACATTGTAGATCAAGTATTGTTTACATTCAACAAATGAATATAAAAGAAAAAAAATACATTGTTAAATATTTTCTACAAATTATCTACAAATACATCTACAAAAAAACTACAATAGCTGTAGCTGACATAATATCTAGATTATAATTCAGCTAGAAAGAAGCTATATGCTAAAAATAATGTAGATCAGGTACTTTTTACATTCAATTTAAGCAACAAAATGTTTAGTTACTGGATTTTACACTTTATCTACAAAAAAAACAACAAAATAACTACATATTTTTGCGTTGATAAAATAACTGTATAAAAATTCAGTTGGAAAGAATTTATATGCTAAAATAATGAAGATCAAGTACTTTAAAGATTCAACAAGTGAATATAAAACCAACAGAATGTTTCCATTTGAACTACTATACTGGATAGGAAAAAAAAACAAAGGCTACTATAATTGTAGCGCAAGTCTGCTACAATTAAAACACAATAATATTGTTCAAAAACTTGTCTATCATCTTTCTTCTAAACTAGCATCAACTAAACAATTGTACTACATGTTCCATACAAAACATTACAACTACTTCTTCTTCCTCTAGACTCGTGTTTTCTCATTCAAAGCCGGTGCACCTTTTCTCCTTGCCAATTTGCCTGTCACCTCACTTTCACTAATTGTCCCATGCTCCTGCTTCTTTCTAGCATAGTCCCAAAGTAGCGCTCCATAGCGTCTACGGTGTTGGTCAATATCAGAAAGATCTTCTGCCAGAATTGATAACTCTCCAAGACTAACATACTCTGCAAAGGCAGCAACAAATACACCACAATCGCTGCAGAGATAAAAGATGTCAATATTTACTAAACCATTAGAAAAAAAAGGTTAAATGTATAGAAAGGAAGAAGATTTTTGTTACAGTGATCCTTCTTTTTATTGTGGTATCTCTCCGACGATCCACTGAATGTTAAGAGGGTTGGTAACAACTTTCTCAATGTATGCCTTTGTATTCTTGAAGTTGATGTCTTTACGCTTCCCATAAAAACTGATGCATGACAAATACAAAGGGATAGTAACAGAAAACTTGTCGACACAAGATTCAACAATAGGGTGATTGCGTGAAGAGACCATGGAATCATACGCATAAAGTTTCCTGTCTGCAATGTCAAAAACAACCAACACCCAGTGGAATTTTTCTACAATGTTGACGGGAATGATGACATAATCAACTTCATCCCATGCAATATTTGCGAGCAGTCTATCCCCCAATATATATTCTGCTACAACATACTGGGGTTTGACAACAGAAAACTTCTTTTCTTGAGGAGAATTTTGGAACTTTTCATAAATCTGATCAATCCTAGTCTTGAACACACAATCTATTGTAATAACCTAGTCTTGTTGTGGGGCCCATACTTGCCTCTTTTCCTCAAGTAGTACATTATAACATTAATGTGCTGCAACAAAACCATATTGCATTTATAATACAAGTTATCTTCAAATAATCTACACAAAACTAGAAAATAACTACAATTCATCTACAATCAGGGTACAAATTATCTACAAATCAAATACATTGAATCTTACCGAGTCATTGAAGACTTGTCCTAGGTGTGCCAGGGAAAAGAACCACTCCTTCTTGTCAACCTTTTCCACTCAAAGATCTAACTATGGCTTAATTTGGTTGTCCTTTATAGAATACAAAGCCTTCCTCCTATATAAACAAATAGAAATTAAAATCAAATTATTGCATGAAGTAGATGTGTAAAAGATGAATACTGGAATAAAAGTGTCAAATTGTGCAAACTAACCTCTTCGAACCTGTGTCGGTACCGTGGTATAACCACTTGTGGAATTGATCCAACACCTCAAGATCTATATATTGACCAATAACACTAGGAAATGAGTGCTTGAGGTGAAAAATTTGAGGTCCAACCAAGGTGCTGCCATCAGAACTGTATAAAGGGAGAAATGGTGATCGGGCATGCTTTCCCGACTGCCTTGTTCTACCTTGATACACAGGTGTTGTTTCATCTTGTATAGGCTCGCCGAACTTAACCAACTGGGAGAAGTTATCAGGCAGCTCGAAATCATCAAGTGTAACCTCCTTCTTCTCACCTTCGGAGTCTTCTGAATCACCTACATTCACATACTCTGCCTCTTCACCTACATTGTCATCTTCTTCATTCTGCTGTTCTCTTTGAGCTGCTATTGTCACTCCGTGAATTGGAGATTGTGCATGCATATCTTCCCTCTCTGTAACACCATGTATATCTAGCTTAATAGAATGGTAAAAATATTGAAACATAAAGCAAATATCTCTGAATATAATTTCATACCTGCATTCTCTTCATCAATCCGCCCTTCAAAATGTGTATATAAATCAACACGTGCTTGATGATTTTCTTCACCAAGTGCACCTTCAACATGTTCTGTTTTTTCCATTAAAAATGTTAAATCATATTGGATAGTAGTGGCTTGACAGTTTAAGAAGATATGTAGGTGTGTTATAAGATCTATATAAATTTGTATGAGTTGTACCAATATGTTGTATTTATTTGTATATATAATGTAGACAAATTGTAATTATGTTGTAGATAACTTGTAGATATTTTGTAGATAATTTGTAGATAATTGTAGATAAAGTGGAGTTATTTTGTAGATACCTGTTTTGCTGGTGCTGGCCTGTACTGGTTCTCCACTAGTGAACTGAAATTGCTGATTGTTCTTATCTTTTGGTTGGTCAGTATTTTTGGTTGAACTCCTAGCAAACTGAAAGTTTTATATTAGTTAGGATATATATTTTAGAGGTGACATAAATAGTTTTGTTAATATGAATAAAATTCAAATGTTACCTTTGCATCAACGTGATCATTTGGACTGTTTATCGTCTGCAAAACAATCTTGACAGACTCATTTATTAGAACTCGAAGGCTACCTAGTTCTTCAAAGACATATTTCCTAAAATCTTCAAGCTTTTCATCGACCTACATATTAAAAAAAATACATAGTAACTTCAGAATATGTCTTAACATACAATAAAGAAGAGATGCACTATTATGTATACATCACAATTGTCACGACCCTAAACCCGAACCCAGTAGTGATGGCATATCTCGTGAAGACAAGGCCAGCCAATTAAACTCAATTCACTTTTTAAACAGTTAAATAACATAAAAGCAGTCTAAAACATGATATAAATATTAAGTAGCGGATAATGTCAATAAAGTGCAAAAGTACAACACAGCCCTAACCGGGGTGTCACTAGTCATGAGCATCTATAAAACCCAATACAAGTCTGAAAGGTCTACAACTAGTACAAAAGTCTGATATGAAATAGAAATGATAAAGACGGAGAAACGCGGGTGTGCGGACGTCAAGCAGCTACCTCGTGAACTCCAAATGTCCGCCGGGGGCTCTCAACTCGCACTGGCAAGATCAGCAACGGCCGAATCTGCACACAGGGGTGCAGTGAGTAAAGTGAGTACTCCACCTCAGTGAGTAACAAACGTAAATAATGACTGAAAGTAAGAAAACACGTAAGGCATGTCGTGGCCCCTTTTTCTCGCAAAAATCGGGTTTGTGACATATGGGAGGACAACTTGTTCCCTTTCGGGAATTGGGTTTGAATTGAAGAGTCATCACCTAATGATTAAAGTGTGNTCCATATCTACCCTTCCCACCCCGTTAAGGTATTAAAGCACATAATGGTCTCGTTTACTTATTGCATGCTATTACCCGCCACAATCCTATCAGCCCCAGAGGCACTTGGGACTACTAATCCTAGAGGGAGGAGGTATTGGGCTTATTTGTGGTTTCAAAAGGTAAAATACTAAGGTGACAAATAAAACACATATAACAAGTTTAGGGAAGCATATAAACAGATAAAAGGGCTCAAACAGACCTCCTTAAATCAAAGAAAAGCATATAGTTTAGCATGTCTTACACATACTGATTAAGATCTGATTAAACTTAATAGTTGGGGTAGACTGATTTATTGCATATTTTAGATAAGAAGCCCGAATCAGGCCTGCCTGCTGGTTGTAGTTAATAAAATCTGATTCAGTTTATAAACTGCCCTATGGCTTGCCTAAGTGTTAGATGAAAACCTATAGGCATGATATCTACTGATTTTAGAAAAGATGAATTATACTGATTTTAGAAAAAGGTTGTCAGTTATTCAGGAAAGACGAGTTTTGACAAAAGATCATAAATTCCGCAGACGTTAGACAATGATTTTAGATTTGTAGACGAGTGAGACGCTTCAGACTTGGTTATTAATTCCTATAGGCATGCTTTCTAGGCATTGTTGATTTTAAACACTTTTACAGACATAGCAAGAGTGCAGAAATCCTATAGGCATGGCATCTAAATGTTGTACTTCATTTAAGCCTATGAACATGATATCTAAATGCAGTTAGTTGTTTAAGCCCTATAAACAGGTTTGCCTAGTGACATATGCATATGCAGGATTCAGATTTCTAGTTAACTATAAGCATGGTATCTATATGAGAGATGCAGAAATTTAACTATAGGCAGGATACCATATGAATGTAGAATTTCAAAAACCTATAGGTAGGAT